GGAGATTTGCTACCACTGGATCCTCCATCTCTTGTTTGAACAGAACCTACAGCAGGTTCCGCAAAAAGGTGGGAAGACCAGGCAGAATCTGGTGAGTGGGTGGGCTAACTAGGGCTGGACCCTGGAGGGAAAAGCCCTGAGCCCATCCCAGCCCTCAGCACCCAGGGTCCTGGAGCTGAACCATGTAGGGGCTGGAGACAGAGGGGAGTTCAACAGCTGGGCTCAGCACCCACTGGGATCCCAGCATGTTTCCTTCAGCCTGTCTGTGCTGAGCCAGTTGCAAGACAGGTGCTGGTGGTGGGCAGCCAGGTCGGGTGTTGGGGCTGTGAGACCTGGAGTAACAGCTTGACCCCCTCTCCTCTTCCCCAGGACAACCCCCTTCTTGCAAATGTGTGACTGAGGAGCAGCAGGGCTCCTGGCCCCTGGTCCTCACTCTGATCAGAGGGGCCCTCATGGGGGCTGGCTTCCTCCTCACTTATGGCCTCACCTGGCTCTACTACACCAGGTGAGCAGCTGTTTCTCCACAGGGAGGTCAGTGATTGGCCCCAAGTTCCAGGTGGGGCTGAGTGGTCCCACCTGCCCAGAATTAGAACTAAAGTAGCCAAGTCCCTAAGCTGAGACCTGTGTTGGCCCTGCAGGTGTGGAGGACCCTGGAGAACGAGGCCGTAACCTGACTGGTCCTCCCTTCTTGTGAGAACGGCACTGAGGTGAGACATGGAGTCCAGAGGGGCGGTCGTGGGACATCAGTGTCACCTTCTCCCTGGGAACTCCTGACTCACCTGTCTCAATTGTACCCTTGGGGTTTAATTTGTGTAAGTGACTTAGTGACAACAAGGAGAGTCAACGCCAATAAAAGAAGGTTTTCATTCCTTTCATTTCCTGAGAGGAGGCCCCACAAGGCCAGGCAGGGCCCTGGGGGAAGCACCAGGCTGCCTCAGGGAGCAGATGAAAGTGGGGGGCAGACTAGCCAGAGTCTTTATTGGGGTTTCCATGGGAAATGCAAGGCAGGGCAGGGAAAGCATTTTAAGATCAGCTATTATGAAAAAATCAGGGGTGTTTGTTTGTTGGGGAGGTCTTCATGTCCTTGGTCCCAGCTCCTGGGTGATTGAGGACAGGCTGCAATGACTGGGAATATGGGCTCAGGATTGAGTGGTTTGCACCTGACCATCTGTTCCTAACAGAGATCTTTCCTGTCTGTGAGAATTAGCCAGTCCTGGAAGGGGCTTTGTCTCCTTGTTTAGCAGGGTTTAAAGATTTGAAAGCATCATAAGATACAAAAATGAACCACAAGTGATACACACCCATGACGGCCCCTTTGCTGCTGCCTGTGCCTCTCCCATTCAACTTGTCCTGTCTCTCTCCCCAGCCCCTGTTCCTGTGTCTCCATCCCCAGGCCCAGGATGGGAGTGAATTTGGGGCCTTTACCTTCCATTGCCCAGAAGTTACCTGGGTAGCACCTGAGTTTCTTGTCTCTCAAACAGCATCGTCCATGTAGATGTCCGTGTGCAGTAGAGTTGGGAGCACAGCTCTTCCTTTCTTGTTTAAACACACCCACCTTGTGTTACTTACTATGTAACAATAAATAAAAATTGTGTTAATTTATACAACATAAAATTTGATTTTCCTATTTAGTGTCTGTGGGCCTTTCTTGAGCCCAATGGGGAGAGTCAGAGAATGACTGTGGTTAAGCTCACAGCTCTGGGGCAAACCTGTAATGAGTGTTTGCAGTGAATCCATTCGTCTCCTCTAGCGGGTCTCCCTGACTCTAGATCCCAAATATATAAAATGTGATCCAAGTCAGCTTCAGCTCCTGAAGGATCACCGAATCTGCACTGACTCTCTGAAGAGCTAGCACCTCACCAAAGTCAAGAGGAGGGAACTAGGAACCAGGAGGTACTTGTTTACTATGGAGAGGGTCTCCTGTGAGATTATTGTGCAACATAAAATTGTGGATTGCACTGTGTCCTGCAGAGGGTGGATTTGTCCTTGGTTTTCTATCCCGGATTCAATGAGTCAGAACCTAGCTGAAAAGTTGAGTTAAAGAGACACCCATTGGAATAATCTCTGGGATGCAGAGTGAATGAGAGGGAACATAGACAGTAGTAATGTAATAAGTACGTGTGGTGGGAGGTGGATCCTGGAAATATTGAAGGGAATCACTTTTTAAAGTAAATGATTCTCAGTCTGGTTGGTGTGGCCCTGTTGGTTGGAGTGTCATCTTGTACACCAAAAGATTGCAGGTTTGATCTCCAGTTGGGGGAGTGAGGAAGGTAGCAAACAGAGGTAGAAATAATTTTTATCATTAGTTAACACATACTCACACACACACACACTCCTTTCTCTGAGATGGATTCTGGTAGGTTTTCTAAAGTGAGATAGGGGCTGTGAGTGACCCTGGCTGAAGTGAGACAGTAGCCCTGGCAGGCGTGGCTCAGTGGATTGAGCATCATCCTTTGAACCAAAGGGTTAGTGGTTCAATTCCCAGTCAGGGCACATGCCTGGGTTGCAGGCCAGGTCCCCAGTGGGGGTTCTGTAAGGGACAACCACACACTGATGTTTCTCTCCCTCTCTTTCTTTCTCTCTTTCCCCTCTCTAAAAAATAAAAAAATAAAATAAAAAAAAATAAAATAAAATCTTTAAAGTGAGATCATGGTTTCTCCTTTCTCCCAGTTCACTGCTGAGGGTTGCTTAGGATGGGTCTTCTGTTCGTAGGTGTTTCAGCCTGGTCTCCTCTGTGTCGCTGAGGCCCTCCCAACCTGGTGCAGGTTATGGGGAAATTTCCTCTTCTGCCCTTCTGTCCATACCTGTGGCTGTGGTAACAACTTCCTCTCCTCTCACAGCTCCACACACCATCCCATCTGTCCCTCACTCGTGACCACAGGACAGAGGATGGGTCTAGGGGACGAGGCCGTGTTGGGCCCACATGTGCAATCCCCATTGTGAGAGGTGCCTCTTGTGTCAGGTGGTGTGAAGGCCAGAGGGAACCAGGATGGGAGAGGGGCTGGGAAGAATCAATCACCAGTGGTCTGTGATTTGTAATCATGACTACATAATGAAGATTCCATAAAAACTGAAAAGGACGTCATCTGGGTGGTTTCAGGTTGGAGAACACGTGTAGGTGCTGGCAGAGAGGGCACCTCAGAGAGGCCATGGAAGCTGCACACCCCTTACTGCACTCCCCATCCTCTGCATCTCTTCTGTCTCACTGTTCCTGAGTCATATTCTTTTATAATAAACCTGTGACCTAGTGAGTAATATGTGCTTGGAGTTCTGTGAGCCACTCTGGCCAACTAATAAATCCAAAGAGGTTGAGATTTTGGGAACCTCTGATTCAGAGCCAGTTGGTCAGAAGCCCAGATGATAACCTGGACTTCAGGCTGGCATTTGATGTTGGCTTGGCTTGGCAGGCTAAGCACTCAGCACTTGAACTGTGGAATCTGATGCTGTCTCCAGGTAGATTTGGAGGTAGGGCTGGGGAATGAGGCTGATGGCATTCTGTACTATAGCACAGAGATGCACCCAAAATTCTCCTCAGTCTCCCCTTGGACACCCCACATCCTAGGGAAGATGAGCCTGCACCTCAGATAAACAATGCATTTCTCAGAGGTTACTGGGTCCTTTGACCCTCATGGCTGACTCCAGATAACCTATGTCATAACCTTTGCCCTTCCTTCTTTTCCTCACAACAGTGGGTTGATATTTTCTTCTTTCTTTTTTGTTTAAATCCCTTCCTTGTACTGTCACAGACCTCTGCACAACAGGAAACATGGTCTGTGGGTCCTTTTCTTTGCCTGGCAGTATGCCAAGTCCTGATTCGGCAGAAATGAAGTAATGAAGAATCAGAAGCCTGGTTGAGATTTTGTAATGGGAGCTGTTAAGTCTCCCAAATAAATTCTAAGTTTAAATTCATTCAACATGAAGGGAAAACATTCATCTTGGAGAAAGGATTCTGCAACTTCAGTGGATCAGCAGGGAGAATGTTAGTGTGAAGGGCAGAGAAAGCCATGGCAGACCAGGGGAAAGTGGAGGTGGGGTAAGGACAGGGAGATTCAATAGAGTCATGAAGGGGGGGGGCCTTTTCTGTCTGGAGGAACTGTAGAGAAGTTAGAGGGTAAGAGAGAGTGCAGGGTTCTGGGATCCCTGAGTATGAGCTCACAGCTGCACATGGGTCCAGTGGCTTTCCAACCCCAAACTGAATGCAGAGACCCACCAGCAGCACCCTCACCTGTGGGGCTGCAGTCAAGGCCCCCCTTCTCAGTTTGAGCTTCTGAGCAGGAGGGGTCCTTTGTCATGAGCATGAGTTCAGCCACCCCTTCCTGAGGCTTCTTGTGTGACCAGACCTGGGCTGAGGACAAAAAGAGAGAAGGACAGAAAGAGAGAAGATTTGGATTCTGGTAGGTCCAGGTACCCAGACCTTCCTGCTATGAGAGATGTTCTTAGAATTCTGATAGAACAGAGACAGATTGCCCTCCATCCATTCCTGAGAGGGGTTTGGGGGATGAACACTTGGCACAGGTGACATGAGTGGGGAGTGGGATACAAAGGGGCCCTCCTGACAGGGTGTCACCACACCTACTGTGAGAAGAGCTCCACCTTCCCTTCACTGTTTGTCTCTGGGGAGAAGAAAGCTTCTGAGAGAGGGCAGGTTTGGGAGATGACCTTCCAGAATGCACTGTGGATACACATCCACTGCTTCTGAGAGAGCAAGGAGTGACCTTGTGACCTCAAGGGTGCTGTATGTGACCCCCAAGAACATGCTGGTGCTGCTGCCCCTGCTATGCCTGTGAGGGGTAAGAGGGCTGTGGGACACAGTCCTTGTTCTTTATTGGGGAACCACTTAGAGAAGCATCAGGGCAGAAGCTGCAGGTGTGAAGATTGGGGACACAGTCAGGACAAAGTGCCTGTGTATCCTCATGCTCTGACCTTCTCTAATCCCAAGATCTATGGATTTACTGTAGATAGTGTACACCTTCTGGTTTTAGGGGGGAACCAAATGTACCATGATCATCCTGTGCCCAAACAGACCAGGTCAGTACCCGAAGGTCAGTACTATCAACAAGCTTGGGCCCACTCCACCTCCTTGGGGACCTCCACCTGTGATGTTCCCTGAGAAACACAGGTGTCAAGACAGGGAAAAGAGGACATTGCTCCTTCAGGAAAAGAAGTTTGCTTAGGAGATCCTGTCACAAATAGAAAATGTACTCTCTGGATGGGACAGATAGGGTCAGAGCATCAGCCAGAGGGCAGAGTTAAAGAGAAGGACCCTCCTGGTCTCACACTTTTCTGAGTGGTGTCTCTGTCTCAGCCCTAGTGCTGACTCAGATACCTGAAATCCACATGCTGGGGACCTTGGGGTCTGGGCACGGGGATCTGGTGAGGGACGAGGACATTCACATTTTACTGGTAAGATTTACCCCCAATCACCCTCCACCAACACACATGTCATGATGCAGAAAGTCCTGTGCATCCTTGCACCATTTCCACTCTGGACCTCCAGGTGAACTCAGCTCGTGTTTATGCTGTTGCTTCTGGGGAAGAGCCAGCATCACCTGGTGGCTCCAGTGACTACACAGAACAGAGTCAAATCTGTAAGTAGAGGGCCAGGGCAAACTTTCTCCTCTGTGTCCACAAGACCATCAATTGTTCCCAAGTGTGAGGGGTGCCCAGATGTGGACACAGGGACATCCTAACTCTCAGCGTATGACAGGTCCTCACTGGGGTGGTCTTGGAAGAGGATGTGGGGGATGAGGTGTGTGGGACCCAGAGCAGGCAGGGCATAGGGACTTGACCCAGACATAAACTTAGTGATTCAATATATGTATGTATCTCCAAGTGCTCACCACAATATCTCATGTTAGCATCCTCCACCACATAGAATTCCACACTTCTTCTCTTGTAAACAGAACTTTTAACAATTTTCTCTCAGTAATTTTCAGATATACAACACATTATTAAACACATGTATCACTGTAGTTAATAGTACTAATACCCACTCTTGTTAACTACAGTCACCATGCTCTTCCTGATGTCCCCATGACTTAGTTGTATTAGGACTAAAAGTTTGTACTTTGACCACCTCACCCATTTTTCCCTACCCACAATTTCCTCCTCTGGCTACCACCCATCTATTCTTGCTATCCATGAGTTTGATTTTTTATTTTTATTTTTAAATGTTGTATTGTATTTTATATCACCATTTAGTCCCCTTATAGTCCCCCTTACCTTCACAATCACCACACTGTTGTCCATGTCCATGAGTCCTTTCTGCTTTTTGCTCAATCCCTCCACCCTGTAACTCCCCCCAACACCAGCTGTCATCGGCTCTCCATTCATGAGTCTGTCTCTGTTTGGCTTGGTAGTTCAGTTTGTTCATTAGATTCCACATATAGGTGAAATAATATGGTGTTTTTCTTTCTGTGACTGACATATTTCACTAAATATAATGCTCTCCAGGGCCATCCATATTGTCACAAAGGGTAAATTTTTCTTCTTTTTTATGGCTGAGTAGTATTGCATTGTGTAAATGCCCCATAGTTCTTTTACCCACTCATCTATAGATTGACACTCAGACTGCTCCATATCTTGGTGGTGTAAATCATGTTGCAATTAACAGGGGTGAACATGTTCTTCTAATTAGTGTTTTGGGTCCCTTTGGATATATTCCCAGAAGTGGAATGGCTGGGTCAAATGGTAGATCCATTTTTAATTTTTTAAGGTGTCTCCATACTGCTTTCCACAGTGGCTGCACAACTCTGCATTCCCACCAACAGTGCAAAAGTGTTCCCCTTTTCCACATCCTTGCCAGCACTTGTTTGTTGATGGATTGATGATAGCCATTCAACAGGTGTCAGATGATATCTTGTTGTGGTTTTAATTTGCATTTCTCTGATGTTTAGTGATGACGAGCATCTTTTCATTGGTCTGTTGGCCACCAGTTGTCTTCTTCAGAGAAGTGTCTATTCAGGTCCTTTGCTTAATTTTAATTGGGGTTTTAATGGTGTTGAAGTTGTAATTTCTTTATAAATGTTGGATATTAACCCTTTATCAAGTATATCAGTGAATATGTTCTCCCATTCTGTGTTTTGTCTTTTTATTTTGCACCCATTTTCCTTCTCTGAGAATCACCTACCTATTCTATCTCTGAGTTTGAGTTGTTTTTTAAGTTCCCACATACAAATGAGATTGTGCAGTATTTGTTCTTCTCTGCCATGTTGATTCACTTAGCCTTATGGCAGAATCATATTCCATTGTACATACACCACATTTTCTTCATCCTTCATTTACCAACAGACACTGAGGTTGCTTCCCCATCTTGGCTATTGTAAATGATTCTGCAGTGAACATAGGGGTGCCCAGGGCTTTTCAAGTTAGTGTTTTCATTTGTTCCAAATAAATACCCAGAAGTGGAATTGGTGGACCTCAGGGCAGCTTTGTTTTCAGTGTTTGAGGAACTGCCATACTGATTTACATAGCAGCTGCTCCAGCTTACATTCCTACAAGCAGTGAAAGAGGGTTCCCCTTTTTGAACATTCTTCCCAAGACTTCTTTTTTCTTGTCATTTTTATAATCCAGATAGGTTGAGATTTTCTAGACCACTGAATTATGAGATGTGGGGGCACCAACATGGAAATCCTACCTCCTTTGTCCTTTGCTTGCACAAGACAATCTTCTTGGCAACATGTGAAGAGTCAGGGGTAGATATGGGTCGAGTTGGTTACCTCTGGTTCACATGTTCCCCATGGGAGAGGCAGACCCAGGTTTTGTGGATCTTGCTATTTCTACTAATGTTGAGATCACTGCTTCAATGAAAAAGCAACATGTGGCACCCATGAATTTTTCTGAAATGGGAAAACATATCACATCAAGTAAGAAGAGTCAAAATGCTGAAAACAAAAATATAAGACAATTCAGACAATTACAGACTATTTTCATTAGTAGTGTGGCATTCCTGTCTGGCCCACCTGCAGGACACATGTCCCCAACAGTTTTTTGACTGATACTTTTTGATTGCTTCTTCATAGGAGAATAATTCTGTCTTACTGTAATAGGTATTAATATTATACTAGTAATCATTATTAATTATTATAATAATATAATGTTTATATAATATAGCCACTATAAAGAGATCTAGCATTTCCTTGGCACTGGAGATTGACATTTTCTTTTCCTGTGTACCATATTTTGCTGTGTATAAAGTACTTCCTTGTATAATGTGTGCCCCCCTTTTTGGCCCAAGGTTTCAGAAAAAATCTTTCATTTTCAGTTTTGAACTCAAGTTTTGAAAAGATTTTATTTATTTAGTTTCAGAAAAAGGGAAAGAGAGAAAGAAAGAGAGAGTGAGAAACATCAATGTGTGGTTGCCTCTTGTGGGCCCCCTACTGGGGACCTGGCCTGCAACCCAGGCATGTGCCCTGACTGGGAATCAAACCTGTAACCCCTCAGTTCTCAACCCAGCACTCAATCCACTGAGCCACACCAGCCAGGGCCGATTTTTCATTTATTTGTATGTAGAAAGTGAACTGATTGTTGTATTCTAGGGTATTATTTTGCCTAGAGATACCATTATTATTTTCTAGAAATGTACTATTAATGCCTAAGCATAAATAAAAGAATTAAAAGCATTTATATAGATACAGAACTAGTACCACCCATGTATAATGTGCATCCTTATTTTTCCCTCAAAAATTTGGGCAAAAATGGTGCATTATACATGGCAAGATATGGTAGTTTAAGAAACTTTCAATCCCACAACTTGCTACAAGGAATATTTGACCCTGATAGTTTCAGAACATTGTGATGGTTGAGAAAACGTTTATCAAGTTTCTTTCTTTCATAAAGAGCAGTAAGATTTCAGGTTATTTCCACACATCACTTGAGCCCTTGCTGGGGCTTTGAGAAGGGGCTGAGCTCATGAGAGGCCTTGAGGATGGAGCTTCTTGAGCTTTAAGACTAAAAATTTGCTGCTGTGCTGAGGGCCAGAGTGTGAGGTCCCCTTGAATGGGATGAGATCTCCCTGCCCACATCCCACACTGAGGGCACCTGTGCACTGTCACTGTCCCACACAGTGGGACACCCTCTGACCCTGTACTTGTGCATCCCATGTCCCAGTGTCCACAGTGCATAGGGCTTTAACACTCAGCTTCCTTTTGGATTCCACCCTCCAGTGGAGTTGGGTGTAAATTCCTTCTACTCTTATCAGCACTTGGTAGTTGAAGCAAAATTTAAATGCATTCTTTCCCAGCACATTCTGTGGTTTTGGCTGGAGGGTGGGTCTCCTGAAGCACCAGGGACACCTCTCACTGGAATGACCCGCTGGGTGACCTCCCTCTCGACTTCAACATCAACTGCAAGGTGAACACATTCAGATTCACATCTGCACAAGCTGCTCAGCATCTGGTGACTGTAGATCCACCTTCAGGGTCAGGTTGGGGGAGGTGACACAGGATGATTTCTCAGCCCTCACAGCACTCCCCACAGCCTGTGGAGCCCAAGTTCCCCTCCAGGCCTGACCACAGTTCTGTCACCCATGGCTTCCTGTTGGGGTGTCATTGGCTCCACCTCACAGCTGGGCATTTCCTTCACTGACACAGGGCCCTGGACCAGCTCTGCCCTGTGAGAAGGCAAACATGCTACCCCTACTGCTGCTGCCCCTGCTGTGGGGAGGTGAGAGGGCATGAGAAGAGGGGTGGGGAGGTGGGGATGGGTTGGGGCCAATGCTGAGTGTCTGTGTCCCCCTAGGTTCCATGCAGCAGCAGCAGCTAGCCTATGGTATCAAGCTGCAGGAATCTGTGAGTGTGCAGGAGGGTGGATGCACCAATGTGCCCTGCTCCTTCCCCTTATTTTGGATATTCTTGTATCCCTCTGCTAAAATCTACATCCACTGGTACCACAGTGGACACCACTTACATAGCTCTGAAGCTGTGGCTATGAATAACACAAATATACTAGTGAAGATGGAGACACAGCACTGATTCTTCCTCATGGACCCCAGCGCCAACAACTGTTCCCTGAGCATCAGAGACGCCAGGAAGAGTGACACAGGAACGTACATCTTACGAGTGCAGAGACAATATACTCACCTTAGTGATTACCAAGAGAAGAAGCTGACTTTGCAGGTGACAGGTATGGCAGGGGCCCAGGAGAGGATGCAGAGACATGGGACCCATCTTAGAACAACCACAGGACCCTGGGACACTACTTGATCCCAGCCTTGGGCCCAGGGTGTTAGAAGAGACACAGGACCTGGGGTGAGCTCAGGCCCTGTGGCATGGGTCCCAGGTGTGGTCACATTCTGGGTCCCCATTGCATCCCCAGGTGCCAGGCACCACCCTCTCTCCTCCTCAGACCTGACACAGAAATCTGACATCCACATTCGGGGGCCTCTGGAGTCTGGCCGCCCCACACAACTGGGCTGCAGCCTGCCAGGGTCCTGCAAAGGGGGAAGTCCTCTCATCTACTCATGGGTGGGGGATGCCCTTGACTCTCTGAATCCCAAGACCCTTCACTCCTTAGTCCTCCCCTTAACCCTAAAGCCCAGGGACCACAGCACCACAGTCACCTGTCTGGTGACACTTGCAGGACCTGGGGTGACCACACAGAAAACCATTCAGTTCAATGTGTCCTGTGAGTGTTGGAGGGACAGCTGGTGTCTTGGGGGCAGTGGGACTGGCAAACCTGATTTTTTGTGTCTTACTGTGTATTTTGTGTGTGTGTGTATAGTAGGCTGAGTTAAAGGAGGAATCTTTTTGCTCATCTGAATGTAGAAATGCACTGGGCCAGAACACAGCTATGCAACCATTCTGGTTCCCATTACCCCTCCTTGGGTTGGGTTAACTCCCATACACCCCTCTATTCTAAGGCAGGAACATATCTTTCTGTCCCAGATGCCCCACAGAACCTCACCATAGGCGTATCATTCAGAAATGTTACAGGTATGAAAGAACCTCCCTCTGTGGGGTTGGGACCTGCCCCAGGGACAGACATGGAGCTGAGGGGAATCAGAGTGTGAGTGGGATCATATATGGGGGAGGCAAGGAGGAAAGTTACCGCCCTCCCTCTCTCACCTCTTGCGGATTTGTGCATTCACCTGTGTTTTCCCTCTCTCTCCCACCACTCAGCCCTCTTTCTGTCTCTGTCTGCATCTCTCTCCACTAGCCCTCAAGGTTCTGCAAACCACATCCCTTCCCATCCTGGGGGGTGAGCATGTGCAGCTGCTCTGTGTGGCTGACAGCAACCCCCCTGCACAGCTGAGGTGGTTCTGGGGGTCCCCAGCCCTGAAGACTGTCCCAGTCTCCAGCACCACGATCCTGAAGCTACTTCGTGTGGGGACTGGAGAAGAAGCACAGTTCACCTGCCAAGCTCAGCAACCACTGGGCTCCCAAAATCTCTTCCTCAACTTCTCAGTGGTTTGTGAGTGTGGGGATCCCCTGTGTGGCAGGGACACCTGGGTTTCTGGGAGGGCAGAGGCACCACTGATCCATCTACTTGCTCCCCACAGACCCCCCCCACGTCTGCTGGGACCCTCCTGCTCCTGGGAGGACCAGAGTCTGCACTGTAGCTGTTCCTCCCAAGCTCAGGCCAGCCCCCTTGCTGCGCTGGTGGCTGGGGGAGGGGGCTGCTGGAGGGGAACCCTCAGCAACACCTCCCTACATGGTAACCTCCAGCTCCTCTGGGGCCCTGGGCCAACAGCTCCCTGAGCCTCTCAGTGGGGCTCAGTGCCAGGCCTCAGACTCAGCCTGCGAGGCAGAAGAATGTCCACGGGGCCCAGAGCACCAGTGTCCTGCTGCTGCCAGGTCAGGATCCTGCTGGGGTGGAGGCTGAGGGAGAAAGTAAGGGATAAAAGAGGGGATGGAGGTGGGGAGAGGGGCTGTATCCAGCAAGGGCGTTATTTGCTAGGACAGGACCCTCCATCTCCTGTCTGAACAGACTCTATAGCTACAGCGGGTGCTGCAAAGATGTGGGAAGACATGACACAGAGTTCTGAGAGAGGATTGGCTCATGAGGCTCTTCTCTGCAGGGCAGGCAGTATACGTGTGTGGAGTGGTTCCCACGGCTCTTGGTGGTGCTAGTGCCATGGTCGTCCTGTCCCTATGCTTGTGTCTCATCTCCTTTTGCATGTAAGCCTGTGTCCTGGGGAGGAAGCTGTGTCATGGAGAGTACAGAGAGAGGCCCCTGAATCCCAGAAAGGGCGGAGCTAAGTCCATATGGAGAGGTCTATTTTAAATATTTTCATATTTTTAAAAGATTTTATTTATTTATTTTTAGAGAGAGCAGAAGGGAAGTAGAAAGAGAGGGAGAGAAATATCAATGTGTGGTTGCCTCTCACGTGTCCCCCACTGGGGGGACCTGGCCCACAACCCTGACATGTGCCCTGACTGGGAATCAAACCATCTACCCTTTGGTTGATAGGCTAGTGCTCAATCCATTGAGCCATACCAATCAGGGCAAATTTTTATATATTTAAAGCATACAATTCAATGGTTGTCCAGTCACAGGGTTGTGCACCCATCACCATAATCAATTTTAAATCTTCTTCATTAGCATAAACTGAATTAAAAAATCCCTTATTTGTCATTTGTGCCACTATCCATGTCCCAGCCCCAGACAGACACTAATTTCCTGTGTCTGCAGATTTGCCCATTCTGGACATTTCATATAAATGGAATCATATAACACATGATCCTTTTTGAGTCTTTTCACATAACAATATTTTCCAGGTTCATGTGTAACTTTTTTATTTTTTTTATTCCAAATTACATTCCATGGCATGGATGCTGCACTTTTTATTTGGCTCCTCATGCATTGATGGAAAGTTGGGTTGTTTCTACTTGGGGCTCTTAGGGATAATACTGGTATGATTGCTTGTGTAGCAGTTTCTCCCTGTGTAGGGGCCTACTGTGATGTAAGTTTAGTCTCGGTGAAACACCTGGTCATGTAGGGGACAGAGTACTCACTTGCATGTCAGAAGGTCTCTGAGTTAGGTTCTGGGATCTGGATGCCTCAGTGATCTTCTCAGGAAGTGGAGGCAGCCTGCCCACCTGTGCCTGAGCCATTGTGGCTCCTGACTTCTTCCCTTAGAGTGAAATTCCACAAGAAGCAAACAGGTGGGAGACAAAAGGTCATGAATGATGAAGAAGCTGTCATGGAACAGTCATCTGGGTGTGTGATGTGAGTATCTTCTCATGCAGTGTAGGGGGAGGGGCTGGGCATGTCTCTTCAATGAGTGTGGACTGAGCTGCTCAGAATTTCTCCAAACCTGCTCATCTGTGGTCACCTGGACAGAAAGCTGGGAGCTGACTTCCTCTTCCTTATTCAGAGCCCAGGGTCAGCCTCCTGCCCTAGTGCTGCTGACCACTGAGCCACCTCACCTCTTTCCCAGTATAGCCTGCCAGAACTGTCTCTCCAAAACCATTACTTTCTACCCATTCTGGGCATGTTTCTTCAACTCTCCTCATCTCAGTTTCCCTATCTGTAAATGGAAATAGTAAGAGTATCATTTAGACTTGGTTTCAGTGAGGACAAAATGTGATTGGTAAGCCCTCAATGTGGTGTAATCAGCTTTATCATTACAAAATTTTAAAGGAATGAGAAAATAGTTGAGTTCATGTGGAGTGTGTGTAGAATAAGAGGATGAATAAAAACTGTTCCATCAGCCCAACTTCCCCTTGAGACCACGTCTGATTTTTTCTTCTTTGACTCTTCTCTCCTCTTCACTCAGGGTTCCCAGCAAAATCCACAGCCAGACAGGCCCCCAGGCCAAGCATCACCCATGGGGAATGCTTCTCCATGGGGAGAGGAGCAGGATATCTAGTACACCAACGTCAGTTTTCACAGGGGGTATCTGTGTGAGGCTCAGGACAAGGAGGACACCAGCACCTGAGTGTACTCGGAGATCAAGAAGACCAGCAAATAAGGACTTGCTCAGAGCTTAGGCCTGGCCAGAAACATCACAGCCTCTCTGGGGAAAGAAGTCGGGGGCAAGTTGGTGTAGCATAAGGTGACCTCATGCAACATTAACATTAACATTAACATTAATATTAACCACTGTAAGAGCATCTGCAGGCAGAGCAGAAAGAAGAAAGGTGATGGGCTTGGAGAGACTTGGGCTTGAGTGCAGACTTCAGCACTTCCTAAGGCATTGTCTTCAAGTGATTGACTTCATTTTTCTGTCCTCAGTTTCACACTCTGTACAGCAGAGACCACGCATTGTATTCAAAGGTGGCTGTGAGCATTAAAGAAACCACAGCCAACAGAGGTCCAAGGCTTGCCTGTCTCTCTTTTTTGAACAGAAAGGTCCTGGTGGCAAGTTCTCCTGAAGCCAGGGGTGACCAGCCATAGAAAACAGGGTGGCAACTTGTTACTCTCGTTTTCCATCCCAGAACTCCTCAAACCCTGTACAGGGAAAGACATCCCTGTCCACCTTTTGTGTTTTGGTTCATGACGAGGTATCATAGTTTCTCTGGGGTCATCTGTCATCACTTGTACCTGTCCATTCTCCAGCACCTCCTGAGCACCAGTCCCTTTCCCATCCCATGTACAGCACCACAGAGATCTTTCCAATTGCTTGTTAGGTGTAAGCAGGAGCTGACTAGGCATCCTGTCACCAGAAATTTTTTTCAGAGACAAAGGACTGAGATGCAGGAGGTGCAGACATAGAGAGCCACATGCACAATCTGCCCAGGAAGCAGCTGCCAGGGAGCCCTTTTCACAGAGCTAAAGAGGAAGTTCCCAGGAAGGGGCTGTTACCACCGTAGAGTGCTGCTGTGAACATAGAGTTTCCAGTAGGGCTGCCAGCAGCACATACGGTGTGACAGTGCCTCCCACAGGCCTCCCGATTCTTGGCTGGGTTTGTCCTCTGCTGTAAAACTGGCCAGGCCAGAGAGCTGACCCTGCCTCTGTCCTACACAAACCCCTATCTGACTCCCTGGTCTTAGTATTACATCCCAGGCCTCTTCCCCTGGTATTTACCTCCTCACGCACCTTTTCCCCATGGCCTTTGTCCCTGAAATCTTCTATGACATTTCCTACAAATGTTTTAGCAATTTGAGATTCCCTCCTGGAAGCCACACCCCCTTGTTTTCATCTGGTGTACCCCATACTGTCCTTCAAATCCAATTCTTGGGCAGATTTAGGTTAAAAGTACGGCATGAAGAAAGAGCTCATAGTCTCCCTCCTCTATACAAATGGTTTAATTTAATTTTTTGAAAACAAAGTTCTAAAACAAAAACAACCAGAGTCAGGAGTGGTACCACAGTGTAGATCCCTAACAATAAGCTCTATGATTATGAAGTGTGCAGTGTCCCTTAACTGTGGGCGAGATCTTTCAAGATCTCCAGTGGATTTTTGAAATAGCAGATAGTACCGAGTCCTATATATATTATGACTTTTCCTGTACACACCTATGATGAAGTTTAATATATAAATTAGGCACAAAAAGATATTAACAATAACTAATGGTAAAGCAGAATTATAACAATATACTGTGATAAAGGTTATGTGAATGTGATCTCTCCCTCTCTCGAAATGTCTTCTATTGTCCTGGCTGGTGTGGCTGGGTGGATTGAGTGATGGCCTGTGAACCAAAGGGTTGATGATTCAGTTCCCAGTCAGGGCACATGCCTGGGTTGTGGGCCAGGTCCCCAGTGGGGAGTGTGTGTGAGGCAACCACACATTGATGTTTCCCTCCCTCTTTCTCCTTCCCTTATTTAAACATAAATAAATAAAATCTTATAAAAATATCTTCTATTAATTAACTCACCCTTCTTCTTATAGGACACCATTCCACAAGGCATGAGCAATGTAGCCCAGCCCCAACTCAGAAAAGCCAGTGGGGAGCAAGATCCCACACAAAGGACCCCTGCTCACAGATAGGTTCCCCTTGGGGAATCAAGCCTGCATTGTTCCTAGGTTGCTTTGAGGCTTGCTTTTGCTAAAACTCCTTCACCCTGAATTGAGGCACAAATGTTTACTCCATATCTTTAAAGGAACTTCCTAAAATCTATGCTAAACCTCCCAAGGATGAGTGTAACCAGTTCAACCACTTTTCCCTTTGCATTTGCAAATATCCTTCCTTTTTTATGTAATTAGCAACATGTTCTGCTTTGTTTTCTGTAAAAGGTAACCACCTAAAGGGAATCTGTTCATAGTAAATGAGGACCATTGTCGATGTAATGTGTCCAGAAAAGCAGTAAAAGCTTGTCCAAGCAAGGGTTGAGGCCCTCTCGCATTCAGAGAGTGGCCATGCCATCCACTTTTCCCCACAGGACTTTTGTAGTCTGTGTGAATTTGTTTATCACAGCCACAACACACGGAACAACACAGGGCCCCTGCCATCCAGGGTCCGCATCACTTACTGTGCTGTTGTAAGGTGTCACAAGGCCTATGTGATGAGGTGTAGGGAGGTGAATGCCACAGACATTGTGACACAGCATGAGGCTACTACAAGGGAGACCTGAACACAAGTCACCAGATACTGGGACAGTAGACCTGAAGACCTAATCGACTACTACGTTACTCACAAGTGGGCAGTATATACAGTATGGAGATGCTGGACAAAGAGATGGTTCACACTCAGCCAGGACAGACAGAGGGTATACAATATTCATCATACTACTTAGAAAATTGCAAAATTTAAAACATGAATGGTTTATTTCTGGAATCTTCCATTTAGTATTTTTGGACTGTGTTTGAACACAGATAACAAAAACCATGGAAAGCACAACTGTGGATAATAGGAGATGACTGCAATAAAGCTGTTTTTTTTTTCCAAAGTTCCCTAATGGTTGTTGCTGAA